GTTTTACTTTGTTGAAGTCTTATATTGTTTATAAGATTTCAACAAAGTAGAACAATTATGTTAATGTAAAATTATAAATTATACAAATATAATAATTCTATACTTCTTATAATTTATTTATTATTTATGGTTCTTATACTTATTATCAAATAAGAATCTATATTTTTCAAGAAACCACTCGTTTTCTTTGTATGTTAAAGGGGAAACAAATACATCTGAATTATTTTGTTCAATTAAAGATAAAAAAAACTAACATATTCTTATATTCAATTAAAAACAATTATGATGAGTTAAACTAAAAACTCAAACACGTTAATTGAAATTAAATTTATCTTATTCAATTGTAATACAAGTCATGTGTATACTTAAACAACTTTTCGAATATACGCTTATTTATTTAAATCTCAATAAATTATTATCAACAGATACATAAGATTTCTCATATTTGATAAAAATCAAAAAAATGATAAAGCATAAACACATAATTAAAAAACATAAAAAAATAACTAAATAATTATATTTCGCTTCCAACTTTTTATAACGATCATGAAATTTTGTTTCTAACTTTTCATAACGATTCTGATATTCTTTTGCTTCTTTTAATTGAATTTCAGTTTTATTCTTTTCTTCATTTACTCGTTGTAATTCATTAATCAACGGTATAGTATCTTGATTTACTTTCACCATACTAATCAAAAAAATAAATGTAATTGCTAAAAAAATAAATAAGTTTTAAAAAACAAATATACTTACATTATTAAAAAACAATAATTATGATGAGACGATAGAGCTAAAGAATTCATTTTAAAATTTCTGAACTTATATATAAACAGATCATCTATTTATATTATAAATTACTAATGATAACCATGTGTACACTTATTTAAATTAGCTTTATACAAATACTGCAATAAACTACTCTTTTCTTTTTATATTGAAGATGTATTCGCTTATTCATACCCAACCTTCAGCAGATCGAACATCTTGAATCAGCAGAAAAATCGCCAAAATGATTACATATTTATAAATTTATTGGTCATTAAAACCTCATACTATTATTGTATTTGGAAA